GGAGCTTTCATGCCAAAACGACGCTTTGCTTTCTCCGCTCTGTTCAAAATACACAGAAATCCCATGTTAAGATGTTATGTACTATGCTTAATGGAACGGAATGATGTACTCACGTTGGGGCAAGTTTGCCAACGCTCTCTAGCTCTTCACCGGTATCCTCGTCCAGAACCCTGTCGGATATTTCAACGACGTAAGATCTATTCCTGTCGGTTGGAAGCCCTGAACTAGCAAGCAAATCTAAATCTTTCTGATCGAGTTCTCTCCCATTTACATAAACACCAGTGGTTCCACTGGCACAATTTTCTGGTATCGGATAATTAAGTTCTTCGATAAAAGGTTGCAATAGAAATTCAGTTTTCTTGTATCATGTATATTTTGGCAAAACCAAACAACAAAATTATTCAATCTACAAGGAATTATGCCAAGAAAATGCCCGCCGAGAACACCCCCAAAATGGGGCTCGGAAATCATACCTGATTTAGTAATGTGTAACACAAGAATGTCAATTGCTTAAATACACTAGAAATTGCAGAAAGAATATCAACGAAGGCTTACCAATACTGTCCAGGAAGAAATGTTCCAGCCATCTTTTCAGCTTTTTTGACCACACCTTCAGGGATATGATGCCCGTGAACTGAATCATTACTCTACTTTCCCGACGTTCATCAGTTTGATTAAATCTTGAGAACTCCTTAAAACTCTTCTTGATAATATTTGCAAAAAACGATTCACCTCATTTTGCCATTTTCGGTTGATCAACTTCTCTAGTTGCATCCCATGAATCTTGAGAAATCCCAGTATTGAAGTACTCATTGAATGACACCTCCATCTCTGTATGTAATGCCTCCTTTAAAGAATTCTGCCGTGTGGTACCCTTGTTTGACATAACTTTCTCTTGATCAGAGCGGCTACTACGATTTCCTCGCCCGAATCGGTTGGCTGACACTACCCTCTGGGGACGGAGATGAAAAAAACCATTCATTTCTGAGTTAATATCACTCGGCCATCTACCATGGGCTTGTGTACCATTGACATTCATTGGGGGCATATGGAAACGCGAACCAAAAGACTCAGGGTTGTCAATATGGTACAATGGATTACCAGGCACATCATGGAACCTTTTGTTGCCAAATGAACCAGGAGGAATAGGTGCTGGGACTTGCCAATGTTTCTCATAACAATGAAAGCAAGAACAGGAATCCTGGTGCAACACTGAACTTCGTGGATATTTCATAAATGGGTCAGGAATACTTTCATTGTACTGTCCAGAAAAGTCTGGATAAGGTGCTGTTGATATTTTCCAGGGAACTGGTGCAGAGCTCTTCCAAGCATTTTGGATCCAAAAGGATCTCCATATGCAGGAACATGATTCAGATTGTGCATTGTAGGATACATCCCGTGCCGAGTCATATCCTGCTCAACGGGACAAGCAAATGGTTCCGGAAAATAGATAAAATAAGAGGGCCCTGCTTCTGCAGCACGTTTATCAGGTCCATAGAAAGGCATTGAGGGCTTCCGTGATCCAGAAGAACCATTAGGAAACCAACTAGCACCACCACCGTAAGCCTCTGGAGGAACAACCCTCCCATCAAGCGTAACCTTCTCTTTCAGTTTATCAACCACATCACAAGACCGGCTAAGTTGCTCCTTTAGCTCATCTAGCTTCCTCAGAAGCTCAGCTCGATCTTGTTCGAGGTGAATTCTACCAGAACCATCCAGGTCAGTTTGATTCTGTAAGTTATTCCATATGACCATAATAAGAATCCAAATTAAGGTTTGATTTGAGGTAGAAAATCGCACACCTTCGACAAGAGCTCTCGGAACTCTGAAACTGCTCCATCTCGATTCCCAGTTTCCCAACCAGCCTCCAGTATATCCAAATTGGAATCCACCTCCTGCTCTCGTCCGATAGAATTCACTATTTCATTCTTATTCCTTCTAATAACATTTGCATTTTCCACAGACCATTTATCACCAGCAACCTTAGAGCCATTAAAGTCTACTATTCCCTTCTCCGAGGAAGTTTGGGATTTCTCAGAAACTCTACCAAGCCTGTCTTCTTCCGACTTTTCCGAGAAAGCATCTGCCTCACGATTCCTGATTTTTGCTGCTAAGCAAACAACATTCCACTAGTAAAACTATGAGACAAAGCCTTCGCCATTGAGTGGTTTCATTATTTTGATTTCAACAAAAACTAATCTAGAGATTTCTGTGATGACCATACCAGATTCTGATATTCGAATATAATGAAGCTTAAGCCATCTCAGTTCTTTCATTTCCTTAGGAAGCTAGTAGACTTAATCATCAAGACAATGAAAAGGACAACACCCGCCATCGAATTTTCCCAGAATGCACCATGCCTATTGTTGATATATACAAAGGACTAACTAACAATTGGATTCTAATAAGATTTCATAGTCAAAAACAACATCCATTACCTAAACCTTAACTACACATAACCCTTCAATTTAACCAATTGGTTCAAGTTTCAACATTTATAGGAACAAGTTTAACATGTATCAAAGATCCAAAATGGAGTTTACATTCACTTTGTTTTGATCAACATTCCCATCAAGGCATCAACCAAACAAACAACCAGGAAAAAAAAAGAAACGTCAGAAAGCTAGGGTACCTCGAACAACAGCACCGCATCCACCACACTGGTAAACCGAATTATCAGAGCAAATTCCAGAAGAAGATTTTCACACTTTGGACACCTAACCAACCTCACTTTGTTTGACTCCGTCATTTTTTTAATCATGCAAAGCTGTAAGTCAACCTCACTGGTGACATGTGATTAAAAGAAAATAAACCAACGCATAAGGGCCTAAGTGGGATTCAAACCATAGACCTCTTAAAGTGAAGGGGAAAGCATCAAATTATTGGGCCAAAGCATACATTGGGTTATATTCATACAACAAATAATATATATCTTGTATTGTTGTAAAATTTTCTTTAGACAACAAATAATATAATTAATAAATTAAAATTAAGATTTTTTAAAATTAATAAAAAAATAAAAATATATAAAACATATTAAAATTTTTCTTTAATTATATAATTTAATATTAAATATATTTATTAATGTAATATGAATATAATATTTTATATTAACAAAAAATATCAATATAATATTTTACATATCTTAATTCTTAAATTTAAAATTTTTCATATTAAATTATTAAATATATTATATTTTTTTATGTCAATATATTTAATATATTTTATTTTTATTTTAATGTAAAAATATATATTTTATTTTTATCTTCACTTAAATATATTTTTATTTTTATCTTAATTTTTAAAAATATATTAACTTAAAATATTTTTTTATTATTTTAATATGTTTTATATATTCATATTTTTTTATTAATGTAAAAATATTCTTAATTTTTATTTATTAATTATATTATTTTTTGTCTAACGAAAAATTTACTAAAAACAAGATATATAATATTTGTTGTATGAAGATAGCCAAATAGATGTCTTGGCCTAATAGTTTGGTGCTTCCCTCTTCACCCAAGAAGTCTTTGATTCGAATCCTATTTGCCCCCTGCATTGGTTTAATTTTTTTCAACCAAAAGGTGACATGTGTCACTCTTTAATTGGAGGAAAATAAATCTATTAAATTAAAAATAAATTTAATCCTCAAATCGAATGATTATACACATTATTATTTAATTTATTAAAATAAGGATCAAATTGAAAGAATATATAAGTAATACAGACCAATTTTGTAATTAGACAAAAATGTTTTTAACAGCCACGCCACCTGTTCCGTAAACTGTTAATGACAGGTGGCTTGATTGAAGCATTTAAATAGTTTAATGGTATGTTTAATCAAATTGAAATATCGGTGGTCAAAATGATTTTTAACCATAATTGAGTGGTCACCCGTGTAGTTTACCCAACGATTTAATTTTTTTTAGAGCTTGGAATCTCTTGCAGTTGCAACAACTATAGTAATCAAACTCGTTTACTTAGAGGGGAAAAAACCATTATTTTTAGCTGAATTGAGATTCTCTAACGTTTTATTCATTTATTCTATTGTTTCCTTGGGTTTTTAAGAGACCAAACAGAGAAAGGAAATAAAATGAAGAATCCCCAGGATTTGAGAAAACATCCTGGAACTTTTAGTTGAAAGAGAACAGTGAGTTTCAGAAGAAACCTGAGTTTATACTAGCGAGAAGTCAAAGAAAATTGAAAGAAACGATAAAAGACAGGCAGACACCGAAACCGAGTACACATGACTGTTTCCCAGTGGTATAGGTACGATAAAAGACCAATGAGAACGCCATCGTTTTTGTACTTATAAAACAACACTGTCTGGGTTTGGCCTGCCCTCCATTATGGAATCTGATACTTGCCCACTTTACTCGTCACTGTTTCTTTTTCTTCTTCTTCTTTTACATCCATAGTTTAATCTAGGGTAAATTATGTTAATAGTTGGTCTGATTGAATTTAGTCATCAATTTAAAAATTAAAGATAAATGATCTCTTACGTTATATATTTATTATATAATGGTGCCTAAGATATTATTAACCCCTTCAACGAATGTGTGACATGATAATTTAAAAAAGCGACGTCAATAAGACAGTTGTAACACACATCAGGTGAAAATTTGAACATCATTAACCTTTCAAATATTCACTTAATTTGTCATATTAAGTTAATAAAATCATTTTTAATTAAATGAATTTATTAACTTTGGAAGAAGAAGGGTTGTTTAAGATTTGAATCATTTAAGCAAAACCAATAAGAATAAAAAACTCATTTTCTCTCTGAAAAAATGAATGATTTTTCTTCGTCTGAATTTTTGTGGGTTTGAATCTAGGTTTCAATTCAAAATTCATTCTCTGTGTGGGTTCTTGAATGGAAATTAGATGGATAGAAAGGATTAGAGTTCATCTCAGTCTACTAAAACATTTGGGATTTATTTTTTGGGTTCTGTTAGAATACATCATATAGTAGTAAAGTATTGACACATAATGCATTGCATTTATTGATCTATAATACTCCTTATATACAAGAGTTTACAGAACTTTACAGCAGCCCTTAACTGCTTAACAACTAACCAACTAGCAACTGCTCTAACAGCTTCCTTAAATAACCATACACATCAGTTATCATTCAATATTCTCCCTACTTCTTCTTCTTGTTCCCAAAGAAAAGACTACACATTCACCCTGGCTTTAAAATTTTCAAATCGAGCACCAACCAATGGCTTTGTAAATCCATCAGCAACCTGGTGACTCCCTGGTACATAGTTCACCAACACTTGCTTCAATGCCACCTTTTCATGAACAAAGTGCACATTAAGTTCAACATGTGTACTCTTTGCATGATAGACATTATTAGCTGTCATGGCTACAGCACTGCTGTTGTCACACCAAACTATAGGAATTTTCTGCCTTGCAAAGCCCAAGTCACTTAGGAGAGCGTCTACCCAAGTTGTTTCAGTAGTAACATCTACTACACTTCGATACTCAACCTCCATGGTCGATCTGGATACTGAATTTTGCTTCTTCGAGTTCCATATTATAAGGTTGTCACATACAAACACACAATAATCGGACACAGATTTTCGATCATCTTTGCTTGCAACCCAATCAGCATCTGCAAAGGTTACTACATTGAACCCTGCTACTGCAGGTGCTATGACCAGACCGTGATTAATCGTTCCCACCAGATACCTCAAAATCCTCTTAACTGCAACCAAATGCTCTTGCCTTGGAGCATACATATATTGTGATGCCTTGTTGACACTGAAGGTAATATCTGTACGAGTGTGACAAACATACAATAATGCCCCTACAATGCTTCGATACTTATAGGCATCCTCAAGTAGCACCCCCTTATCTTGACTCAACTTAGCAGACACTAGCATGGGTGTAGATGTTGGATTAGCAGTGTTCATTTTTGTTTTCATTAATAACTCTACTATAAACTTCCTTTGACTGAGAATTAAGGAACTACCACATCGTTTAACCTCTATGCCCAAGAAAAAATGAAGGTCACCAAGGTCCTTCAGGGCAAACTCTTTTCCAAGTAACTTCACCACTTCATCAATCTGCTTGTTGGAGCTTCCAGTCAGCACTATGTCATCAACATACACAAGTATGTAAACATACTGAACATCATCCCAACGAACAAAAAGAGATGTGTATGCTGAAGATTATTTAAAGCCAATTTTAAGCAGACAATTCTTCAGTTTATCATGCCAATTTCGAGGGGCTTGGTGTAATCCATACAACGCATTTTCTAATCTGCACACCGACGGGCTACCATCAGCAGCTACTTGCTCGAACCCAGGTGGCTGCTGCATGAACACCTATTCATGCAAGTCACCATGCAAAAACGCATTGTTGACATCCACTTGGCGTAACTGCCAGCCATTTGTAACAACTAATGAAATGACTATGTTCAGCGTTGCAAATCTGACAACTGGGCTGAAAATTTCACCAAAATCATACCCTGGCATTTGTGAATACCCTTTAGCTACTAACCTCGCTTTATGTCTATTAATAAAGCCATCAGGGCTCTTTTTCAATTTGAACAGCCATTTGCACCCCACGACTGACCGTCCTTCAGGTAATTTCACTAGGGTTCACTTGCCATTCCTCCTTAAGGCTTCAATCTCTGCATGCAATGCTGCTCTCCAATGAGGTGACTGAATTGCTTTATGAACATTAAGGGGTCTCATGTCATCATACCTAGCCACGTAGAACTTAGGCTTAAATACCCCACATTTACTCCTTGTTAGCATCGAATATCAATTCAAGGGATTGGCATCACTCACATTGTCGCAACCGTATTTCGGTTGGGCCCCGGAATTGGGCTTCGACTTGGGAAAATGGATTAGGAGTCGCCACCGATCATTTATTTTAAAGCAAATGGGTTGATCGGACACCCTATTTCTTACCTGATCTGCGTCTTACCAAAGATGTGTCAGATTCGGGAGTCGGTTACAGTCAAGGAAGGGTTAGCACCCTTGAACTGCCCTTTCGGTACTACGTAATTTCCAGTTGTCTTTGATTAAGAAAATTGTAAGTTAAATTAAAAGATAAAATGACGATCCAAATTACTCACCTCTAAGGTTTGGAAAGCGAACCTTTAAATAATCAAGAAAAATGTTAGAAAAACAAAAACGATGAAGATAAATTGAAAATAAAGAAAATGAAATAAAGAAGAGATAAACAAAAAAAAATAAATAAATACTAAAAAATATGGACGAAAAGTAAACAACATAGTTAATATGGAGATTATGAAAAAAAAAGGAATATATAAAAAATAAAGACAATGGAATAAGATAAATAAATAAAATAGGAAAATGAATCAATGAATAAAGAAAATAAAAATAAAATAAATAAACAAAACGAAGGGAAAAAGGTAAAAAAAGGAAATGCACATATATTAGCTTGTAAACTAAAAAATATATAAAGAAAAATATTAAGAAATAACATAATATATATATATATATATATATATAATATATATATATATATATATATATATATAACATATAAATAAAATAAGTAAATAATAAAATGATAATGATACATGTATATACATAACAACAAAAGGAAATAAATAATAATAATATACAGGAGTAATATCAAATATATACTATAATGTAATATTAAATAAAATAAGAAGAAAATTGAAATTCAAATCTAGAAAACGGACTAGAATGTAAAAATAGAAAATCGAATGATAAATTTTGAAGCACTTTGAGGATGAATTGGGATTTCATGGTGGAAATTAAATCCTTTATAAACGAGGGGACCAAGAGTGAGATTACCCCTTTTTCACACCCATTCCGAAAATCAAAGTATTTTCTCAAGAAAAAAAGCATCGGGGGCTAGATCTATAAAATTAGATCCCGAAAAATGCCCCTGTTCATCGACAAAAAATCGTTTTCTTTGGTGTTTTTCGAATACTAAATGTAACGAGACACAAGCATGCAAGCGTAAACTCGAAAAAGATACTATATTTACCTTGTATTTCTCTTCGAAAATTTGCAGGAAAAAAAACTCTGATTTCGCTCTAAGATTGCTCGTAATTTCTGCTTGTATTTCGTATCTCCATTCGTGTGTTACAAATGATATGGATTACATGTATTTATAATGGAAAAAACAGACTATATTTAGAATCCTATACAAATAGACTTCTAACGCTCTTTGGTTGCTGTGAAAATTGGCTGCAGGAGGAGTCTTCGGGGAGGAGACATGTGGCGCTGGAAAATTAGTGTCTACAGCTGCCCCTCTTTGTCCGTTTTCGTGGAACAAAAAATAGGGCAAAGATAAAATACACAAATTTTTGTTCATATCGAATATCCTTTATCGCAGAGTTGAAATCCGATATTTGATTGGTTTGCCAAATTGAACTGAAATATGGAATGACTCCCTCGTCGTGAGGTCGAGTTGAACTGGAAGCTTCTGAGCACGATATCCTTCGTCGTGAAGTTGAAAACAAACTCAAAGCTTTTGGCGAGTGGCCTTTAAATCGTCTTCTAGGTCAAGATACTTTGTCGTGAAGGTGAAACTTGTCCTGAAGACTTCGGTGTTGCTGCGTTACAGATGACTCCTTCGTCGTGAAGATGGGTCAATCTGTTTGTGAAGTTGGAATCGAATATGGCCCCTTCGTCGTGAAGTTGAGCCTTGGATTTGGATATCATTCGTCGTGAAGCTGAAATCCAATGTAAGTTGCGTTGTTTCGAGGCCAATATCCTTCGCTATGAAGTTGAAATTGACTCTGAAACTGAAAAGTGTGTTGACAGACGCTCCTTCTTTGAGTTGGATATCCTTCATCGTGAAGTTGAAATCCAATCTAGAGATGGATGTTGCTTGTGTGCATGATTCCCTTTGTTGTGAAGTTAAAATCGTTGGCAACCCCTTCGTTGTAAAGTTGAGTCTGGAATTGGATACCCTTCGTCGTGAAGTTGAAATCCAAGTAGGTTGTATTGTTTCGAGTCCAATATCCTCCGCCGTGAAGTTGAAATTGGTTCTGGAACTGGGAAATTGTTTGTTGAAACCAGCCGTCCCTTCGTTGTGAAGTTGAACTTGTGTTGTCTCGAGTCCAATATCCTTCGTTGTGAAGTTGAAATTGGTTCTGAAATTGGGAAATTGTTTGTTGACAACCAGTTGTCCCTTCGTTGTGAAGTTGAACTTGTGCTGTCTTAAGTCCAATGCCCTTCGCTGTGAAGTTGAAATTGGCTCTGAAATTGGGAAATTTTTTATTGACAACCAGCTGTCCCTTCGTTGTGAAGTTGAACTTGTGTTGTCTTGAGTCCAATATCCTTCGCTGTGAAGTTGAAATTGGCTCTGAAATTGGGAAGTTGTTTGTTGACAACCAGTCGTCCCTTCGTTGTGAACTTGAACTTGTGTTGTCTCGGGTGGCGCGATATCCTCTGTTGTGGAGTTGAAATCGTGGATGTGTGGTAACGATATCCTCCATTGTGGAGTTGAAATCGTGGATGACCCCTTCGTCGTGAAGTTGAGCCTTGACTTGAATATCCTTCATCGTGAAGTTGAAATCCAAGTATTGTGAAGTTTGGCTTCGAGCTAGATATCCTCCGTCGCGAAGTTAAAATCTACTCTCGAGTTGATTGTATAGCTTTGAGCTCAATATCCTTCACTGCGAAGTTGAAATTGACTCTAGCTAAAACCTAAAAAAGTTATGCATATATGTGATGAGATTTATGTAATGCTCTTAGGTATGCCTAAAATGCATATGCAACATATGTTATTTTTTGGCTCAGGAGAGAAATCTCGATCTCCGGTTGCTTTTCTGGAATCTTCAAGTTCTGATCCCTGATCTCGAATTCTTCAAATATTCAAATCTGATGTGCACATTCTATTTTTTTGATTTGAGAAATGCTTTCGACCATCCCAAGTATGTGCCTGAGCTGAGTGTAACGGTTCAGATGATGCTTTAAGAGAAATTGTCTCGAAACAGACAAAATTCGTTTCAAGGGAAACGATATCAAAGATATATGTTATTTCATGAGAAACGGTCTCAAGGGAGACAAAATTTTGTTTTAAGAAAAACTGTCTCAAGAGAGACAAAACTTAGTTCCAAAAGAAATTGTCTCACGGGGAGATGAAATTAGTTCCAAGGAAAACATATTCAAAGATTTTGTTTCAAGGGAAACTGTCTCAAGAGAGACAAAATTCATTTCAAGGGAAATGTTTTCAATGTTTATGTTTCAAAGGTTTGTGTTTCAAGAGAAACAATTTCAAAGGTTTTTTTTCAAGGGAAATTGTCTCAAGAGAGACAAAGTTTGTTTCAAGGGAAACTGTCTCAAGAGAGACAATGGTGAGCACGATTCCCTTCCTCGTGAAGTTGAAACCGTGGGTGGCCCCTTCGCCGTGAAGTTGAGCCAGGAATTGGATATCCTTCGTCGTGAAGTTGAAATCCAACTTGAAAATGCAAACTGGATCAGTTCTGAATTAGCTCTCGAACTCGTTTGAAGTTGATTCTAAGATCTGTCGATCTTTCAATATATCAAATTAGTTGAGGTGTAGCTCCTTGCTACTGAGTTAAGCAACCACTATCAATTTTTACAAACTCTTTTGAATCAGGTATCTTTCGCATTGAAGCTGAAACTTGACTCTAAAGCTGCAAAAATTATATATGCTAAAAATGATAAATGTGATGCTCTCAAGTATGCAACATGAATTAATGTCATTTATCTCTTGGATAGAGCCTCATTTTTGCCTGCTTGTTCCTGCAAGTGGAGGAAATGCCTTCAGAAGGTCTGATAATTCGCATTAGGATGTTGAATCCCCAAAGATGCCCCAATATCCAAAAATGTCCCAATATTTGATGTTGAATCTTCAAAGATGCCCCAAATGTTCCTCATTTCTTGCTTCAGCATTGATTCTGAGCACGAACTTTATGTCTAAGAGTCACATGTCATTTACCAAGATTCACTCTAGAGAGACTGTCTTGTTTGAAAAAAATGTTTTTATTTCTCTTTTATTTTCAAATTTATGAAAATATCAATTAAAAGAGTTTCAAAAAATGTTTAACCAAAAGTTTTGAAAATATTGTCACTTTTACGGTTTTACAATTGAGACGAATCATAAAACTAGAGTTCATCGGATATCAAAGAATTAATTACAATGTTAATCCTTCAATAAATTATAGCCATTTGACAAGTGTCAAGATCAAAGCTATCTTTGAGAAATGGTTAAGTAAGGAACGGATAAAAAAGTCTCAGATTATCGTGTTTGGTCAAAGATTTGGCATTTTATGCTCAAAGGATTGATGGGGTAGCTTGCATGTTTCTCTGCTGGAAGTGTTCTCTGACTCCCAACCTTCATTGTCACACTCGGATTGTGCGATGCCTTATCAAGGAATTTATGTGATCGCCTCAATTGCACAATTTTTATATTCGAGCCGCCTTTTCAGGTTTTCAACTCGAACCCTCCTTTGGTTTCAAGACGTTATTCAGGATTTACGTCTTAAACCCCCTTTTTCATTTTTCTCTACCATGTATTAATTACATTGTTTTTTTGCAAATTAATCCTTATGGGCGGGATGAAATCTGAAGATAGTCTCTTTTGTTTAGAAATCCATGTATGATTAGAATGGACTTTTAAGGCACGTAATGTAAGCCAGGGCTCATGGTTATGAAAGAAAAGGATAAATAGGCCCAAATAAGTGTTTCAGGGTATTGAACCAAGATCAATTCATTCTGATGCCCTCGATCTTGTCTTGCTCAAAATGTCTCTTTCTCCTGATGCTCTATGATATTCGAGT